AGATTCTTATCTTTAAGAGCTGTGTGAAGCAGATCACGTCAGGCCATTAGACACTGTGGATATACTGCTTTTGTCAGACATCAAGCCAGTACACAATACAGTGTCTTCATTTTAGCCCTTACACCACAGTAGACTCCTTAAAATCTGGACATTAATTTATATTTAGAAGTTGAACTGAGAATCCTATGGAGCCTAAGAGCCTCCCTAGAAAGCGAAGTAGGTGTGTGACCATGGAAAAGAAGACTATAAGAGAAGTGGTCTTACAAATATGAACTTCAGTGGTATGGAATATAATGGAAATTGAGAAACAGTGTGTCATTGGTGTAGAAAATGAGTGTGATGGGGGAGGCAGCCTGCCCTGTGCTCAGACTAGCCCTTGGGCATGCTGGTAAGCAGCGTTGCTACAAAGCCACACACCGGCCAGAGTGATTTCATTAGATCCCTTGAACTGCTTCAATAATATGTCGGGAGATCTGGTACCAAACACTCTTAAACCTTCACCATCATTTTTTCACCACTCCCCGGATGGTGTGCTGCAATGGGTGTGTGCCCCTGTACCCTCATGGGACAGAGAGCAGCAAGGGAAACCGTTGCATAGGAATGAAAAAGGCCATGAAGAATCCGGTCCTGAGGAGTGGCTCTTGGTAGGCTACCTGGGTACCATGTCTGTGTGCCATAATGAATTCTTCCTAGAGTATCTGTTGCTTCCTTTCCACAAACCTTATATAATATGTTACCCCTGCGTTCCTCCTGGTGTGGAGGGTGCACAGTCACAAATAATATACACTTAACTGTCCCAAGCAGCTGCTTATGGTTACCAAGTTGTATGCAGTAACAAGAGATCTCTAGCTTATCCCTGGACAAGGGAGACTCTGGAACCAATGTACCCTTTAGCACACCCTTTATGTGCTAATGTTATGACTACTTTTATGGGTAGTAGTCTAGAGCATCTGCAAAAACTGACAAAACCCAAACATATGTCATGCTGAGACATACTGAGTTAATAATCATTTTTATTAGCATATTTTTGCAGCACATAATGTTCACATTCGTCGTGGGAAGTTGACACATGCAAATAATGTGTCTTTATTCTTTTCTCATGCTTACTTCCCTTTCCTCCACCCTTTATCTTTTGGTCCCCTTCCCCTTTGCAAAAATCTCCCTATTTTTTACTATCTATCTTTTATTTCCCTTTTTATTTTAAGAACAGTGTAGGGAAGGCAGAGGGAAATATGTCAAAATACACATCCACCAGCACTTGGCTTTTTGGTCATAGGAAAAATTCCTGTATCATAGAACCACCCAATCCACCCAGGAGCTGCTAATTAATCAGAGTTGAACTGTTCTGAAAATGGTTCATTTACTTGCCTCTTATTCACACTATTGGTGAAGAAGAGATTCCTGCCCTAGGCTGACAGAGATGAAGAACTGGAAACACTGGATACAGGACAGAGACCGATAGGATTTATTAGTCACATATCCTCACCTTCTGGTGGAGGAAGATGGGGCACTCTCACAGCGACACATGGATTTTGGAAATAAGGAACAACCGGGGCCTGTGGGGCAGGTTTTGTAACATTAAGATGGAGAGATGACCCTCTGGTTCCTTGGGGGTCAGTGTGATTGGCTTTTTTTTTCCGCAATAATCTCTGTGTTATTGGGGGAACTGAAACCGACTGCTTGGATTAGTAAGGCCTTTACCTGGTTGTCTGGGTAAGGGGGTTGTCTGGAGCGGGATCCTGTCTTTTGGAGCAGATGAGAAGGGAACTTCAAATTAGACTTTGTGCCTTTTTGTTTCTACTAAATATAGAGGCTGCACAGAACACTGGGCCTTAATTTGAATCCTTTTCATTCAAAGGTGAGCAATGTGAAATGTAAATGCACAAAAACCATTTCACATAATTGAAAAATTTATGGTTCGGTCGGCATTGGTTCAGGCTAAATTTGCCTGATATTAAGCTGTTTTAAAGAGTTTCTATATTGTCTTCAAAGCAGAGCACTTTCATACACTTTCATGATGATCCTCAAAGCCCCTGTAAACTTGTGGACAATCTATTTGCTTTTGAGTTCTGAAAATTCATAGCACCGTATAGCTTGATATGGGTCTCTTTTCATCCACACTGTAGGTACCTAGTAAACTTTAGGTCTTTACATCCAACTCCTTCAGGTTTTGACAATTATCTTAAATTATTACTTTCATTATTTCTTCCCTTATTTTTGCATCTTTTGAAATTTCTTGTTGCTGTGTGTTGAAATTTATCTGCTGATGTTATCATTGCTTTCACTTTTTCTTTCTTTTTTCCTTGTTTTCAAAATCTTTCTGGGGTTGAGGATGTAGCTCAATAGTACTGTTCCTGCCTGGCAAGCACAAGGTCCTGAGTTTGATTCCTAGTACCAAGAAGAAAAAATAAAAAGCTCAATCAAAATCTTTCACAGAGATTTAATTATGTTTGCCACATGTTTATCTTCCAACATTTTATTGAGCTTATAAAAATCTTTTTAGGTATTTATTTTGCAACTGTCTACTTAGCTTTTTCATTTTATTGTTACTATTTTTTAAAAAACTAATAATATTTTTTCTGAATATTCTTTATTTAAGTTATTTTGAAGTCCTTCACATATGTAATCCTTTTCTTCTACATCCAACTGCATAGATGATAGTCCATTCTACATATTTCTCCGGCTTAGTGTCTATTTCCTGGAATCATTGCTGAGAATGTTTGAAATGTTGGGTTAAGTGTGCAGCTCAGAAGCAGAGGGCTTTGACATACTTGAGGCTCTGGATTTGATCCCCAGCTGCACAAGACACAAACAGCTGTATTTGGCTGCCTGCTCAAAACTGGGAACATAGGTATCTACAATGCTAAAGATAACCTTTGTTGCTACAAAGGATTCATGAGAATGTTTGTCTGTAAGACTGGATGGACCATTTCACTGGCACACTTATCTTTTATTTAAACACTAAAGTTTAGGGAAGGCAGAGGGAAAATTTTTAAAAATTTAAAAATTTTAAACACTATCTTTATTATTATTAGGTATAGTTTTTCTCTTGAGAAATTTAAATAGTGCAGAGAAATATTTTCAGATCTTCTGTTTAGAATTATGAACAGGGTATTCTGAAAACTAATTTGGGAAAGATTATCTGCGAAGATCTAAGCCTTTCTTAGTGTGATGATTGCACATTAAACCAGGCCTGCTGTCCTCTCATCTAGGCCTTCTCTCTGTTTAAACTCTCTACAGACTAAATCTCTTGTCTTCCAACCAGAAAGAATAGTTCATCACTTAGCTTATGCAGTATATGAGGATATCCAGAAATTCTAACTGCTTTGTATAACATGTTTGATCCGGCTTTTCATTTTATACTCACTCCTAGAGCAGAGCTCACTTGTTTTTTGTTTTTTGTTTTTTTCAATTTTTGAGCTTTAAAGCCTTGTATGGGGAAAAAAATCATATTTTTTCATCATACCCTTTTTTTTCCAGCAAAGGCTTAAATATTTTCAAAGGTAATAATTCAATTGCAACTTACTGATCTACTCCAAAATTTCCAAACTATTATCAGAGTTGTTTCCTTGCTTTGTCTTTTATTACCCCTTGTAAGTTTTTCCTTAAAAAAATTTTTTTTTTCATTTTAGTGAAGCTTTAGAAGGAAGAAAGGTTATAGCATGAATTTACCTTTCCTGTCTCTTTATCTAGAAGGCTAAAATTTGAAACTTGGACCTAATGAGAAAACTTATAGTAGAAAATATCTTGTATTATTGATTTTGAATATATGATCTATGTTAGTATACTTTTGATTTTGTTAGACTTTACTGTAAAGCACGGATTTATTTGAAATTTAATTGTTTCTAATAGTTACTAACAAAAGTTTAAAATTAAACAATTCATGTCTTTTACCACAAATACATTCACAAACTATATCGTTTCCAAATGCCACCATTAAAATGTATTTTCCACTTCTCTTTTGCAACAATTGTAACATTTTCTTGAAATTTAGAGGAATGTCAGGTCTATAATTTTAAAATCCCACGTATATGTGTGTTGCTACATTTGTTATAGAAAAGTGATAATGTATCAGTTGTGTTCAATGCTATAATAATAAATGAAGGTACAATTTAAAATCCAATTTAATTTTTTCTTTCATTACATCCATTTATTCACCATATTAATCTACTTTAAATAGTGCCTGAAGTTAGTGTCCAAATAATATCAGTCAACTAGCGAGCTCTAGTACTTGAGGTCAATTTAATTACACTGTGCATGACAGAAACTAGGCCATGTGGGTATTGCCTTTGCCACCAGCAACTGACACCTGAGTGTTAATGAGCTGGTAATTAAGAATTGGCACACACAGACACATTTTACTGTTTGGGACTAGGATAACCATATGCTGCATAATTTCTGTGCTAAGTACTTTGTTAGCTCCACAATTTATACAATTATATTTGTGCCGTTTTTAATGCCAGTTTTTCCTTGAAAAAGAGAAAAAAACTTTACTTTAAATTGTTAAGTAACTTTGTCTTTATTTTAAAGTTATGAAATTTTCTTAAAAGATTCCAATTATATTTGCAAAACAACGGAAGAATTTGTGTAGCATAACTTTTGGTTGAAAATTCATTTTTATAAGACTCGCCTTTTGAAATGTATTTTGTCATATAAAAAAGTCCCGAGGGTAAAAAAGTCCCAGAAATAAGTAACTTGGATGTGCATATGGAAGGTAGACAGCATGTCTTAGGGCCCATAGTGATAGTTACCTTCTGGTGTTCACATCCACGTAAACACCTCTAAGAAATCTACGCAGTCGGCATGAAGGAAGGTCATACCTGACCTCAGGTCGCAAAAGGGCCACGTTGACTGGGGGCGCAGCTAAGTGGCGCCGCCGGTCAGGCAAGCATAAGGTCCTGAGTTCGATCCCCGGTTTAAAAAAGAAAAGAAAAGAAAAGAATTCCCCATTTTGAGGAACTTCTGGTGTACTCTTTCATTCTTTCTTGGATTGTTTGCAGAAATGTTGTGGAGGCATCTGCGTGGAGAGGCCTGCGTGGCAAGGGATGGAGCCCAGTCAACAAACACATGAGTGAGCACAGAAGCAGTCTCCCAAGTCGCGCATTTGGATAAGACCTCAGCTCCTGCCAACAGCTTGTCTGCGGCCCCAGGAGAGACCTTAACCAGAGGCACAGCTAAGCTGAGCTAAAATTTCTGAACCCTACAAACTGTGAGATAAATGTTTGTGGATTAAGCTGCTATGCTACGGGGAATATTGTTATGCAGCAACAGATAACTAATACAATATATAATTCTGAATCCTATTGTGTGTTACAGTAGTATGAAGAACTGATTTTTTTTTTAGTGTGATATTGTCACTGTCTCAAACTATATGAATAATATGCACTCTTTTCTTCTCAAATCTCTTCAATTTTCAGTTCTCCTTTACTTTCCTCTACCTCACAAATAATCCCAACCATTTTCTGGATTAATCTCTTGGCATTAAAAAAATAAAATAAAACTGTTCTCATCAGATGAAAATGTATTAAGTTTAGTGAATTTTAGTTGTGGGAATTACTTCTCATTTTCTTCTTTGAAAGAGTTTGCTTTTTCGTGGAGCCTTCTGAAGGACATAATGCTTTTTATATGCAGATTCGTATAATTACACTTTGAAATAGCTTTGAATTCCCTGTAGTTTAAACTGAGAACATGAAAGGCCAAATGTTATATGGAACTGAAGGATATAAAAGTACACGTACATCGTTCCAAAATGAGATATAGAAGCGAACAGCTTTTACACAGTCATGTCAGTTTTTGACAGATTATTGAAAGATCTTTGTAACTGCAGAGAGTGCTTTGGAAGCAGAAATACTCTGCCTGGGGATGGCCTTATCAGTTTGTATTTTTTATTCTTTCAGTACCAAAGGGTAAGTACACATTAAATGAAACACGAAAAAATGCTCTCTGACAAAAGCTGTACCCCGCTTTCCCAAAGATGACACCAAATGGTCAAAGAAAGTGTTCTGATGATGGCAGCCTAGACGAAGAGGTTACATTTCAGGAAGTCCACAGGAAAGCCACATCCTCAACTCTGTAGAGAGTCTGATGACAGAGGGAACGTTTCCTGCACAGGAGGACTTTCACTCTGTGAGCGACAGACACCTCTAGAGCATTTAAATCACCCACATTTCTTAGCAAGAAATTCAGCAGCAAGAAAATCTCCAGCAAGGAGCTAAAAGAAACCAAATTCGTTTTTGAAGGTTCAAAATTGAAATCAGTACTATACTTATTCAAAAACACTCTAAAATATCTAACTTTCTTTTGAAAGAGTTATATATGGTTAACTTTTCATGTCCTGCAATTATCCTGACTGTTTTGAGTTAAGTAAAAGTATATAATGGAATTGTATTTCTGCATCACCTATGAACAGCAGAACTATTTTTTCTATGTTTAGAGCATATGTTCTCCTGATAATATATTCCAGGCAATAAATGAAATATCCACTTCATCTCAGTTAGTGAGCAAACAGAATATATTTTAAAATTTAAGGCAAAAATGCTTGAAATTCTAGTGTTCATAGAATGCATCGAAATAAATAGGGAAAATTTGAAATCAGAGGAAGGGGGTAAGCATTTTGAAAAAATATATATTTTGAAATAAATATTGATTGAAGTAGAATTGGATAAGTGATTATGCTATAATAATTATGCATTTATTCTATGCTGAGAAATTTTATCATGTTTGGCACTTTACACGGCTTGCCACTTAAAATTCTTAATTAGCTCTGAGAGTATAGTTTTTTTTGTAAATATAGCAAACAACTAAAATGTTCTTTTTCTGAAAAAAATTGACATAATTTTGGAAAAAGAATTTCAAGATTTCAAACATGAAACTTTAGCACATGATCCATTAGAGCTACTACCCATTACCTGAAGTTGTAGGACGCATGTAGACAAGGTACAATGGAACCATGATAACTGTGAAATATTTCAGACTGGTTATCCTCTAGTTTCACTACTGAAAATCATGAGACTTCGGTAAATTTTATGGCTAACTCAGTATCTCAAATTCGTTCTCACATCTAAAGTTTACTCAATAATTGAATTTTAATCTGAATGATGTTAGACAATCTTCACGACAGGAAGAATCTTATCATCCGGGGATAGAACCCTTCAATGAATTCTTATGGAAGTCTGAGTAGAAATATGAGAAAAACAAACCAACCAAAACTCTTACAATATTTTCACTGACCTAAAAAAGTTTCACTTATTATCAGATGAAGAAGAGTCACTTCTTTTTCTTTTATAGGTGTTACAAGTCATTGTATCTTGTTAAAGTTAAAAGAGCATCTCTACTATGAATTTTTCTTTCTATTTTTTTCTCGCCCCTTCCTTCTTTCTTGTGTCTTCCCTCCTTTTCTCCCTACCCTCCTTTTACCTGCCCTCTTCCCTTCCCTCCCCTCCCCTTCCTTCTTTCCTTCCTTCTTTCCTTCCTTCCTTCTGAGGATTCTAGAGCTTCATATACACTAGGCAAGAGATCCTATGTCCCCCTGCTGATCTACATCCGCACTCTTTTAAAACATTTATTTTGAAGCTGGGCATGGTGGCAAATGCCTGCAGTCACCACACTTGGGAGGCAGAGGAAGGAGGATTGCTAAGAGTTCAAGGCCATTCTGAGATACATAGTGTGTTCAAGGCCAGCTTGAACTACACAGTGAGAACCTGTCTCAAAAACAAAAATATATATATACATAATTTTATTTTGAGATGGAATCTCATTACATTGTCCAGGCCAACTGCAAGGTTGTAATCCTCCTAACTTGGCTTCTCAAAGAGTTGGGAGTACAGACGTGTACCACCACGCCCAGCTACAATGAGCTATTATATGGTGAAAAAACATGGTACAAACAAAGATAGGCTTATAGGTTTCATCTTAAAATAAATAATAAGATAAGTACAAAGTTATAATGAAAGCTAATATTCATTTAATGCTCCATCCATATCAAACACTATTCTACTCAATATAACACATATATAAAAATTATATCTTTAACACATTTATGAATGCTGAAATTATATGAAACTTGAACTTTCCTAGGTCTTAATTATAAGGGTTGGTGATTATTGGAAATTGGGTATGATCTCTGACTTATATAACTTTCTTGTGAGTTTTGTTAGAATGGGGAACATGATAAAATAAAATGCTGGACCTTCATAAATAATCTAAAATTCCCCAACAGACGTTCTCTCTGACTGGATTGAAGAGGAGAGAGCAGGAAATAAGGCACAGAGAAATTTTAGTTGTTAGGTGGATATTTCATGCTATTTGAGTTTTTGAAATATTTATCATTTTCTTAGCATTTTAGAAGTCTCTTAGGAGTTCTTCAATAGGAAAAAATGATTAAACAGCTTCTTATTTTTAATTTTTATTTTTTTGGTAGTGGGGATCAAACTCAGGACCTTTCAACATCTTTTTAGATGACTAGTGACCATGGTACTTTTTTTTTTTCCCCTGTAAAATCAAGATCTAAAGTTAGAGTTCTGAAGAACAACACATTTTGAGAAATGTTGATCAACCTCTTTTGCAGGAAAGGAAAATTAGGCCCCAAATAGTGTGGTTTACAGTTGTGTGGTGAAATAGTTGCACAATTTGAACTAAAATACAGAAAGGCAATAGATTTTATGCATGTGCCAAGGAGGATACAGAATTAGATGGCCTGAGCTAAGGTTCTTTTTCAAATATTTTAAATTTGAGTGGTTTAAGAAAACTTATTAACCAAATTTGTCGTATCTTTCTTTATTTCTTCTATAATTTTTAAGCAGGACTTGACTTTCTCTTTCTTCATTGGTTTATTGGCATATACAAAATTTACATTGAACATGACATATAATAGGTAAAGAAATAATGATTATTTTGCTAGGTTGTAGCATGCGAAGTCTGTTTAGATGCATAGAAGAAGTATCATCACAAGGTGCAACTGCTTCTATATACATCATTTTCCTGAGTTTGCAACAGAGCTTTAGGATCAATTTTGTATATGGCTAACAAGAGACAATCTTGTGGAGACTTCGTCTTAGAAAAGCAAACTACTAGACACTATCATAAGTGAATTCCATATGTGCCTGTGAGAAATAGTTAAAGTGATGACATGACTTTGGAATTCATCTTAAATGGATTCAAACTCTGACTAAACTCACAATATTATTGATGCTGGGGTCACCTACCACACTCAAAAGACTAGTGAAGGAGTTTATATGTTTCTCTGTAAGTTGTAACTTTTAGCAAGGGCAAAAATTATATTTCTTGGTCTTCATCACTAGTTTCAATTTATCTTCTAGAAGTCAAAGTTAATCAGACCATATACATAGTTCGGTGATATCCATTAATTTTGTATTTCCTTTTTGAAGTCTTTCTTAGAGAAGGATCTTGAAGAGGAGATGAGTTGTTAAATCTACATGAAGATAATACAAATACTTTATCAGCTTAATAAAATTTGACAATAGAAGATCAACCAAAATGGTGTAATTTTAAGAATATTAAAGCCTTTAAGCGCTTTTTTAAAATGTGGATTTTTTGTTTTGTTTTGTTTTGTTTTGTTTTTGTACCAGGGATTGAACTTGGGTCCTTGTGCTTGCAAGGCAGGCCACCGAACCACTGAGCTAAATCCCAGGCTAGATTTTTTTTTTCTTTTCAGAAAAAATTGTTTATCTTCATCTATCTCCCATCTTTACATCATACAAGCAAAAATTATGTCACTCTGTGTTAATCAGGACTCATGAGTGCCAGCAAGAGAACATCCATCTATATTTGCATCAGAGATGAACATGTTAGCTGGGTTAACATCTTCATGTCTATAACCCAGGATCCAAAGGAGAAGGCTAATTTTTAAATTTCATGGCTGATCTATGTATTAATGCTTTTACTCCCATTTGAAGCCACTACCTGAGGATAACACAGTATCTTCAACCTGATGAGAAATGGTCACTTGTGTTGAACAGTGACTAGTATTGTACAGGAAAATAGAACAGAAGAGGGGTTTTAGATTCTTTTCTCACTATTCTAACTACTGCAATTCCACTCTTGTCTACTTTATGTATAGGATATCAAATGGTATTTTAAAACAATTTTACTACTAAAATATTTGAACTAATCCACCTTATTGTATTAAATATAAACTATCTCAGTTCATACTCTGATCCATAAATTTACCCGTCTTCCTTTTTCCTAAATTTACCTCATATTTTAGTCTAAGAATCCTAAACTGAGTAACGCTTTCTCATTCTTTTGCCCCTTTTACCTGATATTTATTATGTGTGAAATATCTTCAGACATTCTTTCATTTGAAGAAACCATAATCATCCTTCACCACTCTAGAAAAATATGATTTGAAAGTGAGTAAAAGATTTTTACCTTCAGAATATTTATAATTTGGAGTCATCGAAGGACTATACACAAAATGCTTAGGAATGAGG